GGGGGGAAGTATCGGACCACAGGACCATTAGTCCCAGAAAATTTTTTGAGTTCCCAGAAAATATTTCCCCAAGAAAGAAAAAGATAATTGTAAAACTTTAATGGGTGAAAAGATAGAAATTCAGAAGGTATGCAATTATGAGCGCATTCATCTTAATAGTGCAATAGTGTGTAAATGTATAGACTGTGGAATAATGTAACAAATATTGTATGGCAAATGCATTTTTAGCAATGGGTTCATGCTTTGAAAACGAGAACGATGGATTACCAGTGGCAAAAAAGCGACCGTGTGTGCAGTGCACATTTTCCTCGAGGGCACTACTATGTAAATAACAATATCCCAGCCATTGTTCCTCAGAAAGATTAAAAAACTGACCAGGTAGTCTGGCCTGTAGATATCTCGTACTTGTTAAATCCTGAAACTGCTAAGAGTACGGAATCGTTGGACAAACAAACGGAAAGTGTTGACTTGTGTACGACACCAACAGCTGGCGAGCAAGAACATTCACAGGAAAGAACTTGCAGCAAAAACCAAATGAAGGAGACACCTCATGAAGAAACATTACCATCAGAGAATACATGCGAGTGTGGGAAAGAAATAGGTGAGCTGAAAAAAACGGATTAAGGAACTAGAGAAGCATCGAGAGATAGAAACATTTGGTGGTGCGAAGGTTTATGGCAAGTGATTTGGATATCAGATTTTACACGGGACTTCCTGATTATGCAACGTTTGTTTCTTTCATGAATTTTTCTGTGTTGGTGTAATGTACTCAGGTGAATATGATGCTTGTGATGTTACTCTGAGTGTATATCCACACCGGGCAAACTTGAAAAATATGCCTGACCACGGTGGGAATCGAACCTACGACCTTTGGAATACTAGCCCAATGTTCTACCAACTGAGCTACGCGGTCTGGTCGGTTTGAGTAACTACTACTTACTTGAACAGACCAGACCACGTGGCTCAGTTGGTAGAGCATTGGGCTAGTATTCCAAAGGTCGTAGGTTCGATTCCCACCGTGATCAGGCATATTTTTCAAGTTTGTTTCTTTGTACAATTTTGTTAAACCTAAACCAGGATTTAATCTAAACTACTATAACGGGTATACCAATGCCGCTAGAGACCCATCTTATGTTGTTTCTCGAGGAAGACCAAGAAATTTGTGTGAAATTGATTAACTATTTCTCACTTTGACAAGATTACATCTCGGTTTGCTGGAGAAAGATCTTGCTGACAGACATAACATTACTCAGCCAGAAGTATCACAGATATTTGCCACCTGGATTGACCGTTTGTGTCACTGTCTTGGAATGCTGAGCTTTTTAACAGACCGTGAGACTCTGAAAAAGCATTTACCAAAGTGCTTCAAGCCACATTATGAGGATGTCTATCTTATAATCGACTGTACAGAAATTTTCATTGAGAAGTCCTCACAAATCATACAACAAAGTTGTACCTGGTCTGAATACAAAGGACACAACACAGGAAAGGGACTGATTGCACTCTAACCACTTTTGCTACCAGTGTTTGTCTCAGAAATTTATCCAGGCAGTAAATCAGATGAGGACATTGTAAAAGATAGTGGAATCCTTTCCCTTGCTCAAGTGGGAGATAGGTGGCATGCTGACAAAGGATTTATGGTGCAGCGTATTCTAGATGCTTATGGTGTGATTGTAGATACACCAGAGAAACTGTCAAACAAGAAGCAGTTTACCGAA